TGAAAAAAGGGGACCATTATTTTTCGCCAAGCGAACCTTGCTTTCCATGGGTCAAAGGGTAGTCCATAGTGGCTTACGTGAACCACGACGGCAAAGATGAACCGAAGATACCTTTGGTAAGAACGAGTGATACACCCCAGTTGGCGGAGGGTTTCCCATTTCTGACGCGCGGGCGACTTATACAGAGGACACCCTTGCCGTGATGCCCCTTGGCAGTATGGCGGCAGATCGGGGGGGCACATCATGCTATGAGAGGTGCTCCCCCCGTTCGGCCCCGCCGGGCAAAGAATATCACTCGCGCTACACCGGCACTTGCAGCTCACCTCTACCACGTGTTCACAGCGCTATGAACCCCCAATGATCCACTTGGGCTCGGAACAATCGACAAAAAATGGGTATACTACAAGCTAACGCGTACAAAGATTGAGAACTATGAAGATGAGTGCAAGTTGGAAGTAGAGGTACTTACATGGACCCACCCACCCTGCCCACAAGCATACGCTTAAAATTAACGCACGCATATTAGCTTAAAACTAAGGCACGCATCCCACGATGATCCCTCGATGATCCCACGATGATTCCACGATGATTCCACGATGATTCCACGATGATCCCACGATGATCCCACGATGATCCCTCGATGATCCCACGATGTCTTGAATCATTGCGTAAACGCAATTCACACACAGAAACTTAAAATTAACTTGAAACTAGTATCGCACGCCGTACAACTTATTCTAAACGCACGCATACCTCTCTTTCTAACATTGCACTTGTATGATTTATAACGAAGTACAAAAGCAAAGGGAAATAAGAAAGTTAGAAAAACTTTCTGCTGAATGAAAAGAAAGTTAAAAGAACTTTCTGACAAAAAGAAAAGAAAGTTAGAAGAACTTTCTGCTAAAACCAAAGAAAGTTAGAAGAACTTTCTGTTAAAAAGAAAAGAAAGTTAAAGGAACTTTCTGTGAAAAAGGGGAACAGTATTTTTCGCCAATTGAACCTCGGCCTCATGGGTCAAAGGGTAGTCGCATCGTGACTTACGTGAACCACGAGACAGAGATGAACCGAAAGTACTGGCAAGAACGAGTGACACATCCGCGGAGGGTTTCCCATTTCTCCGCCGCTTGTGTTTTAAGCAAGTCTGACCACAGAGAGGAAACCCCTGCCGTGAGGCGGCAAATCGAGATGGTACATCAATCAATCGGCCCCGCAGAGATGTGTCCCTGGCGCTACACCAGCACTTGCAGCTCACCTCTGCCGCGTGTTCACAGCATTATGTACCCCCAATGATCCACTCGGACTCAGAGCGATTGACAAAAAATAGCTGAGTATACTACAGACTAACGCGTAAAAAGTTCACTGATTATGAAAATAAGTGCATGTTGGAAGGAGAGGTATTTACATGGACCCACCCGCCCTGCCCACAAGCATACACTTAAAACTAATGCACGCATATTAGCTTAAAACTAACACACGCATCCCTCGATGATCCTATGATGTCTTCAAACGATATCTTCAAGTTGATACGCATTTCACACACTCACTCATACTACAATGTATTGCAATTGATGCAACTTAAAATTAACTTAAAATTAGCGCATATATCTAGGGGGAATCTAGCTGTGTTTTAGACGATTGCCTATGCTGTAAAGATCAAAAACATGATGCGGAAAAATAGATAGAAAATTAGTACATTTTAGGAAAAGAGGGAAAATTTCGAGTAGAATCTAGGAAAACATGCAAAATAAAAATAATGTACTGATAGAATTAAGAAAAATATCAATCATTAAAAATGACTTATTAAAAATTAAAGACTGAAACAAATAAAAATGATTAAGACAAATATAAATCATTCAAACTTATTTACACAAAATATAAACCTGAAAGGTGCTAAAATAATTTAGGCAAACATGAAACATTAAAAATATAGGAACTTACGAAAAATTAAATGCTGAAAGAGACAAAATTTTATTAATATAGAAAATTAAGCACAGTGAAATATTACTTTAGCCCACCCACAAATAGAAAATTAAGCAAGGGACAATAATTTTACATTACCCCACCCAAAAACAGACAATTAAGGAAAAGAGGGAAACAGTACTCTATCCCACCAAGGCATTCATAAAATAGGAAATAAAATAAAAAGACTTGAAAACGCGAAATACCTTCCTCCCACAAGCTCGGAATTAAAAAACTAATGCATTGAACAGAATTTACCAAAAATGAAATTCTGAAACAGGCAAAATTTGATTAAGGCAAATATAAATTATTTTATTACTTACGTAAAATAAAAATCTGAAACAGACAAAATTCTATTAACACAGAAAATTGTGGGAGGAGGAGGAAAATTTTTCTTTATTTCATACAAGAATTTCAAAAAACAAAACGCAATGAAAATTGCGGATTTGAGGAGACAACATAACTTACGAAAGAAGAAACACTAAAACAGTTAAAAATTTATTAGCACAGAAATTTAAGAAGAGAGAACAACTTACCAAGAATTAAATTCTGAAACTCACAAAAATTTATTAATATAGAAAATTTAGATCAGTTTAAGAACTTACCAAAAATCAAATTCTGAAACAGACAAAAATTGATTAACAAAGAAATTTCAGAGCAGAGAATATAGCTTACCAAGAATTAAAATCTGAAACATAAAAAAGTTTATTAACATAGAATATTGTACGAGAAGAAGTGAAACGAACCTATTCAGAAGCAGAAAACACAATAAAAATTACGAATTTAAAATCAACCAACAATACAAAAATTTTTATAAAATCAATTCCTGAAACAGAGAAAAATAATTAGCA